TTATAGACCACGTCAATATTGTATCATTATCATTGACTTGAGAAAATTTTATTTCATTTTCAATAATCATAAGAATAATTCCCAAAATACCAAGAAAACACATAATATCAGTTACGAAAGAACTAGAATATACAAGAATATAATAATAAGACAATAAACAGTTATATTTCATACAGTTGTTTATGTAAGTTTTTTCGTATAGCTAGTCGACGACTAATGTTAGATAATAATATTTTATTGGGAATCTTTTGTTTGGTAAGATCTTTAGTATAAATTTTTTTTGTCGCTGGAAACATTTGAATTCATAGTAGTCGCCATTGTAGATGGTAATATAACTACGTCCAGCGAGTCACTCTGTTTAGTAGCCGATGAAGAATCAGTGTTAATGGAATTAATTAATGGTATACAAGTATCCTCAATATTACTCATCTTAGATTTACCTGAAATAAATGAATACATATATTAAGATTAGGATACATAATAATAAACTTATTAGAATATTATATCAATATATTTTAAATCCTTCTTTCATTATTTTTTTGCATAAATTTGAATAAATTTAAAGTGTAATCAGAAATGTATAGTAAAGATGCCGCATAACAGAATTTACCATTTATATTCTTTTTCTATTATGAAAATATTTTATTGAAAATGAAATAAAATTTTTCGACTTATAAACTTTCGACAACTTTGTTTTTATATTCTACCTCGCAAAAACTCATTCCAATAGTTTTACACGACAACACTTACATAAAACGAAAGAAAATGATTCAAATTTGTTTATCTATTACATTCATCTACCGTCGAAAACAACGATAGTAGTTTTTTTTACCATCATTACCTTCACCTTAATGAGTAGCATCATTCATTACTTATTTCATATGTGGGCACTCACATTCTCATACTTTTATTCATAAATATAAATAAGAGAGGTCAGGACAATAAGAATATTAATTAAAAAGAAAAAACATTCTTGTGTTTATGAAGCACATCAGAATGTGGTTGATTGTAAAGATAGATAAAAAATGAAGTGCTGCATCCTGCATATAAATGTGTCTCACCTGTGAAAATGAAAAGGCACACATGAAATTGCATGGTTTATTTGTATTTTGTTATGTTTACCACGCATGCTAGTAACACAGATTCCTCTAAAATTTTTAGCATTGACACATTTTCATTCTTTAAGTAAACTCAACAACTTAATTCATGAAATCTATGACTGTTGAACGTTATTGATTAAGAGAAAATTCTTACTTTCGTTTTTCTTCTGTCGAATGAATGGAATATTTCAAAAACCGATTTCTCTTTTTTTTTTTTACACAACTTCAGATTGTCGTATACAAACGTTAATTTCTTTCTTTCTGATTATTTTTGAAAAACAAATGAATTTTCAAATTCATTCCAATGATATACATGATTGGTTTTAGCGTTAAAATATATGGAGTTATCATGTTGAGTGTACATGTATATTTTCGAATCGTGTCTTGATCATAACGTCTCATAGCTATTATGTAAATTAGAGTGAAAAGATAAGATTTGCGAAAGATTATATCTTGGGTATTCTATAACCCTTAATCGAGTGATTCCTCAATGTCATCGCCGATGCCGATGACTTCTAGGAATATATCATCATTAATTGAAAATTATTTAAAATAACATTCTTATTACTAATACTTTGTCTGTCGATGACATCAAAGTTCATATCCTAAGGATCATCCATATATAAAGTAGATCAAAACAAAATTTTCTTATCGTGATCAGTATGATCGAATTTTTCATGCAACTCATTGCGCAACAGTAGTGATCAATGTACTCGTTTGTTCAAAAAATATTGATTAATTCTTTGGTATTGGCTATTATCTTACCAGTATGATCGGTATAATCATCAAAACCAACAAATGTAGCACCAGGCATGATTATTTATAATATCTTTCTTTGAGAATTTAATTGACCAGTCACTATGAATTATTGTTTTACAGTCTATATCAAATAATACTTCTTTCTTGTCATTTTCAAAACTGCAACTAACAAATAACTGTATCAATTCACTGGTACAACTCGACATAAATCAATGCTTTATCGAGTCGTTCTTTTTTCCTGTAGCAAAAATCGTATAACTATTCTATTGACTTAACAAGATTTTATTGTATATACCCAACGATGCATTCAAGAGAATAAGTTGAATCATTGTGAACTTCAGGCAAAGAAAACTTCAAATGAGTTTGAAGGTCATTTCACGTGAATAAACCCTCATTTTTTTTGCAATGAAATTGTTTCTTATAGAAATGAATTTCAGCAAAAATATCTGAAAGTTAAGATCTGTCATCTTTTTCTTATTAATAGCGATACAATATAACGTGCCGATAATTCGAAGTTCAAGTAAAATATTTATTGCGTCTTTTCTACACATGGTTTAATGCATTCAGTTTTTTTTTGTACTGATTTCGAATCTATATTTGTTTTTCAGTTATAGGGGTGTCAATTTACATTTACTTTTAATTTAATTATTACTTATAATTTATATTTATTTTACATATAAATTTTTTACTTTTCGTAATTTATCGAATATAAAGATTTCGGTATTTATCATGATTAGTTTTTCAAAGAAGAATCAAATTAGCCTTTACGGACTAGGAAAATAGAAAACGCCGCAAAATGTCAACGAAAAGCTTAAAACATTTTTTGCGAACTACACACCTAATAGAAATCACCTATTATTTTTGATCAAATGTAGTTAAGGCTTTTAGATGCAAAAGTAGGTTTTTTTCTATATGGCAAAGTTTTATTCCAATCTAGTTTAAGTGACGAATTAATGCTCATTTTCGAACATTTCTCATATACAATAAATATTCATTAGGTTTTCCCAAATAGTTTTTTTGATGTGGATGAGGAATATTTTAAGACATATCATGTTTATTCTTATGTTGTTTATTAACTACTTTTGGTACAGTTTCTGCAGATATGCATGATACAGATAGAGAAAAAACCGATAGGCACAGAAACTCTTAAATCATAATGTAAAAGTGTTTTAATATTTTACTTTGTCTCATTGAAGCTGTTATTTTACTTTGACTGATATGAGAAGTATTTAAGTTCTTATTTCTATCTAGTAATTACTTCTATAATTAGATGTCGAAATGAAGACTTTTGACTTTTATCGCACATCACATTTTTCTAATCTTAAAAGAAGAGGATGGGTATGGGTATGCGTGTGGGAGTGTGTTATGCATCTATTATTACATCCACACCTACACCCGCATACGGCAGAATAAGTTAACAAACTATTACCATACATTGGAATTCTCATTGAAAAATGACAACAGAAGACTTAAGTATGCTGAGATTTTGAAATGTATTTGAAAAAAAAAACAGGCGAAAGATAATCCGTATAACTCATTGTATGCATTTGTTATCTGTTAACCATATGCATGTACTCAGAGATACACCTAGAAATGAGTAGAAGCCAGAGACCGGCATGAGATCGCAACAATCAACGTGAGTTTCGCACTGCAGGGTAAATTTGACGTTGATTGTTCCGACCTCATGACGGTCTCTGGTAGATGCTAGGCAACATTTCTCTCATGCTATTGTCAAAATCAATCAAGCGACGCAGGTGAAATAAGTCGGATCGTAAAATGACCGTTTCCGTTGATTTTTTCGCCGTTAACCATGCACCGTATTATGACACGTTGAGAAACGGTCGGATACTAAATTTTTCGACCGTATGAGGACCGTGATTAGACGTTTACGGTACGTCGAAATACGGTCATAATGCGATGCATGTTAAAATGTCAACTTACGACAATTTACGACCGTAAACGGCGTGAAAGATAGCATAGAGTATCGTATACAGCAGTTTACGACCGTATCGGATCGTCGTAAAGCCCGTCCTAGAACAACTTGGATAGAATTCCAGATGAAACAAAGAGAAAGACAAGCAATACCCAAAAATCAGATAAGATCGAAAAAACCATAAGATTCATACAATGAAACTCTTACTTTGCTCAGCTCACTTGACTGCTATAAAAATAGAACAGACAAAATGTGACAAGTTGATACTGTGTTTTGCACCCTTTACACAATATTGCTCTCTGCTAGTGGTTATTTTTTCATCCTTCACAAGTATTTTTCTATTCATAAAAGAGAAACGTAAACGAACGACATGCGCAATTCATTACTTCAAACGGGGCATGTAAACAAACCTTCAAGGTCAGTAGTGTGCTGCGCAAAACAAAAAAAACAACTCATTACACCATTTTATTTTCATCGAGAATGTATATCGAAGAAAAAATATCCATGAAAAAGAAAAAATTACTTTTTCTCATCATTGTGACTGGTTTATACCCACAAATCTAATAATGAATGGTATGAAATAATGTACATCATAGGCCAAATTGCACTTGAAATGATTGCGCATGATGCATGTTGGGACATCATGAGTAGTTGGTATTCCCTAGACTATAGAGTCTATGACGTAAGGTGTGTGCGTGTATAAAATTACCATGATGTCGACATTATCTTTCAGCAATGAGAATCTACAGATGAGTGCGAGTGTGGATGTGAGGTGTGACTGTGGGTGCAGGATGAGGAATGTGAGTGTGGATGGCTATGGGTATCGGTGTGCGTGTCGGTCTGGATGCTCGTGTGAATGTGGGATATCGATGTGCAGTCTGGGTGTGGATGTTGGAAGACTATACCAAAACCCGTACCCTCATCCATTCGCAACCCACATCCAATCCGGGTACAGATAGTCCTCCAACAGGATGTACATCTAATGCATTACCTATTGTGGCGTTAGCTTATTCGGGTGTTATTAATGAATTTCGTCTTTATCAAAGAGAATTAAGTCTTGATGAAATATGTGTATATTGAGTGGAGCTTAAATTTTTTTTGTTGTGATCGGTATCGATTATTTCTTAAATATTATCATAAAATAAAATGATTGCACAAAAAAAAAAACTGCCAGGGTAAGTACAGACAGGATGTCATCAAATAATTTCAAACAACAATGCTCTATTTGTGTGTGAGTAGGAATGAGAGAGCTACGGATCTACGTTTTCGTGGACTTGGATCTGATCAGGTCCAAATCCAAGGTTTTTTCCATCAATATCTAACACCCTTCGTGTACATGAACAAATAAAGAATCAAGGTTTTAGCTATTTATTCATTACTCTCAGAAAAAATCATCAATGTACAGTTATATCTTCTTGTTGTATTCTCATCTGGGGAGCAGCGGATCCACAAAAACGTGTAACCAGGCCCGAACCAGACAAAAAAGTAAAACTTTGGATCCGGTCGGAGATGAGCCTAGAAGGAATCAGAGCTGTCACCTCTTCTACTTTTCGAAGTTTTTTTTCTGTCTTTTCTACTTTTTCAAGATTTTTCTGCTTTTTTTGATACGGCGTTATTTATTATTTCAATCAACATTTTTCACCTGAACTACCTTCGTTTCTATAATTATTAAAAAAACTGTATCAAAAACTATTAATATTTTTGTGCCATTCTAACTCTTTCTATTTGATACAGATGATTTTTATTTTCTACTGACTACAAACAACTACCAACCTATATATTTGGCTTTAAATCAATTCTTTACCTACGGTTTTCTATCGTGTTTTAATTACTCATATAATTCATATACATCAACATATACATTATTTTGTTTGTTTACTCAATGAACATGAATAATTAATAGATGATTAGTGAGAGAAAAGGAACAGAAAAAATAGCTCTAGATGATAATGACAGCTCGACTAGCGAAGAAGGTATTGACAAAACAGTGATAGTTGCTGGAGTAATAATTATGTCATCAGAAGTTAAATCAGAAAGCAGAAATTGAATAGAGTTATCTCCAATACAGAATGGTTCAAAGTCGTCGAATATTCATGATCTTTAAAAGAATATAAATTTGATCCGTCTCAACTAACATTTATCATTCGTCATCAACAATTTTCTGAATATTGCTAATAAAGAGCTAATATTGATAATCCTATGAACAATAAGAAACATAAAAATTTTAAATTCTATGATTTAATCAATAATTATTTTGAATTTCTCCTTATCATATATTGTAATGGATGAATACTTATTAGATAAAAAAGATTTGTCAAAAGCTCTTAAATCAGATGAAGAATACTCCTTAAAAAGAAAACATGTTCAATGATTCTGTCTAATTATTAATCAGTTGTATTTTGTGATGCCATACAATGTGAGTGATTAGTATACTGACACTAAAATTTAAAACTAACGGGTAGCTCGTAATAAAAGAGAGTCTCAGTATTTTGTTAACATCTTAAGCGTTATCTTATCGCTCACACATTATTTTTTATGTCAAACGATTCACCGTCTGATTCTGCAGAAATTGTTATATTTCACTGTAAAAAACACTTATCTCTCTTTTAACATCATCATGATTTAAAACAAGCATTACACATAACTTTCAAAGTCTTCATTTTTTTCCAAAATGTCCAGTTTCTCAGTTAATCCTGTTACTTTGGGTATAATTTATTCGCTACTCAAGCGATAAATTGATTCATTTCAATCAACGTATCAAAGGTAATTTATTTTATCTCTGGATAAAGAATATGGGACACGACCAATGATAATACGACTAATCTAAGAACTGGATGTTTTCGAAAAAAAATAGAGATTTTGAAAGTTGTGCGTAGTGTTGTTTTTAAATCGTGGTGATGTCCGAAGAGAAAGAAATGAATATTTTTACAACGAAATATGCAATTTGTGCAGAAGCAAACGGTGAATCTTTTCATAAAAAAAATAAAGCATGAGCGATAAGATAACACTTAAGATGTTAACAAAATACTGAGACCCTCTTTTATTACGAGCTACTCGTTAGTTTCATATCATAAACATACTTTCTACTGTCTCTCTGCTTTTCGGAACTCAAAAGGTAGTAGCACTGGAAGGGATAGAATATGAAGTATTCTTTCAACATATGGCCTTCAAATAAATACTACACAACTACGAATTAACATAATGTATGCACAAATCATCTACATTATGTAACAAAACTTGCATTATAATGTGTTTTAGTTGCTTATATGACTAATTTTTACAAGAAAAATAACACATCCAGATAGAGTTCGACGAACTTTATCGAACGCATCCATGTAGAGCGTAGTTTAATTTACACCTCTGTTTTCAAGAAAAATCTTACTGACAATCTGATATGGTAAGATTTAATATTTATGTGACTAGAAGATGGTACTGTGAAAATCTATATGATTCTTATTATAAGATTTTTACAAAGTTCGAAATCTTATACGATCATAATTCTAGATCTCAGTTACACAAATTGTTTTGTGCATTTAAATATGTTCTAATTTAGGCGCCAAGGTGAACGAGTTATGATTGATTTCGATGAGAAAACTCCGAAAAATGGAAAGAATCCGATGATTGAATTTAACAAGACCCAGCCGGACCCGAATTTCTGCTTCCAAGTTTCTAACATTTCCTGAATGAAAATCGACGGATCCGGGCGCTAAATTGTTTATTTTAGATCATTTTAACGATCGAATTCAGTAGAAATGATTTTATCTTCTTTTTTTTTAATGTTTTCATTTAGTTTGCGAATAAATCTGCATATGCGAGTAAAGATAAAAGATTTTCTGAAGAAAACAAGCAATAATAGAAGAAAATCAGGTATACAACGTTGTGGAAAACTTAGAAAAATCATATATGAATTGTATAAAATCTGATAGTAAGATCATAGAAGAATCGTACGAGATCTTACGATAGGATTGTTTGATCTAAATATGTTACAGAACTTTCTAAATATTCGATAATCGTAGTGGTTTTAGACTATTAAATATTTCGTGTTGTTTTTGTTAGTAAATCCATATATATTTCGATATATATTGAGAATTTCCATCAAATTTTATACAAAATGGAACATGCAGTTTATTAATACTTCAATTTTTAAATTTTTTCTCTTTGAATTCTAGTTAAAACATCGATCATTTGATGTTGATGACGATTATCTGGTTGCTTTTGTCTTTATCCAAACTGTAATTTTAAGGAAAAGGATGAAATTATATAAAGATCGTTTGAAAATGTATCATAAAAAAAAAACGATATTATTTTTACAAATCTGTCATATATTCGTGTATATTTTTATTGTATCTTATCACAAAAACAAATCGATTCAAATAACAAAATACATGTGATAGGAGCAAAAAAAACGAATTCTGTCTCGTAAAAACACGTAAACGACATTAAAAACAAATGTAAAACTGTTTATATGATTCATTATTGAGTATTCTCTTTTTATATTAATACAGAGAAAAAACTGTGACGTCATCGATAATTATAAGGAAGAAAGAAAAAGTATCGTTCCGATGCATTTATTATGATACATTATTGCAAAGAAATAACAAAAACAAGGTAACAACGCGTACTACAATTTGATATCAATCTATTTTCGTTAGATTTTTTTTTCTTTCATCACAATCATAAATTAATTTGATAATAATATTTTGTTTTTTTATTTTCAAAATTAAACAAAATGTCTATTACACAATTGGAACATCTTTCAAATGAAATTTTTTATGAAATTTTCGATTATCTAGATGGTTGTTTTGTATATAGTATTTTTTCAAATCTTAATATTCGTTTTAAATATCTTTGCAATGATTCATCTCTTCCACTCAAACTTAATCTATCATGGACATCAAAATCAACTTTTGAATATTATTATAACTATATTATTATACCAAATTTAAATCGAATTATTTCACTTCATATACCAAATCCATTAGCAATTAAATCTATTCTTTCATTATTTTCAATTAATAATTCATTTATTCGACTTGAATCAATCAATTTTGGAAGAATAAACGCTGCACATATTACATCTCTTCTAACTCATTTAAAAAAATTGCCTCGTCTTTTCTCTTTATCTATAAATATTAATAATCCAAAATATGATACCCATATAATTTTTCAATTAATATTTCTTCTTCCAGTTTTAAAATATTGTAAAATTTCTTCAGAAAATGATGAATCTATGTTTTCAATACCAATTTTAGCTCGAAAAAATGAACAACAAGAAAGTTCTATTGAATATTTAATTATTAATAGTATTTGTGAATTTGATCAACTTATTGCTATTCTTTCGTATACTCCTCGACTTACACATTTATCTTGTCATTCTTTATATATTGGCAATGATCAAATACAAATACCAATAATTGTTACTACTACTACTAATTTAAGAAAATTATCTATTGAATTAGATGCAACACCATTTCATATCTTTAAAACATTTGTTAGTAAAATTTCTTTTCAATTAGAAGTATTACGTATTTCTGCAAAATATGAAAATAGTTATCTTGATGCTAAACAATGGCAACAATTAATTTCATGTCATATGCCACATTTACGTATATTTGATTTTCAATTTAAAAGTCAATTATGTGATGATGAAATGAAATCTATTGAATATGATAAACTTATAGAACAATTTAATAATAAATTTTGGTATGAAAGAAAATGGTTTTTTACATATCAAAATTGTCGTGGTGATTATGGACCTTTTAAAATCTTTTATTCAACTCGTCCATACAGGTATTAGAAAAATAAAAAAAAAAGAAAGTTTTATCCGAAAATTTTTTTTGTTAATCAAATATTTTTTTAGGAGAAATTATTATAAATTATATGAACGTACAACTGATAATCTTGATATATCTACATATCAAGATAATTCTATGCATTCATGTCGTCATATTCTTATTATAAATCAATGGACTAATGTCAATTGTTCAATTCAATTTCCATATGCTACTAAACTAACTCTCAATGGTGGTTTTGTTGATAATATTCCATTATTAATTAGAAGTCTCAGCAGTATTATATCTTTAACACAGATTACTGATTTAGTTCTAGAATATAATTATTTATTTATGAATAAATTTCTTATGTTACTTCAATATTTACCTAATATTAAATCTTTAACTATTCCTCAAACGTCTATTATACAAACACATGATTTATCTGAAAATGAAATTGAAACAATTCTTATAATATCGAAAAGAAATCATATTAAAAAAATATCTATTATTGATCGAGAATGTTGTACACTTAAACAACTACATTTTCTATTTGATTTATGTCCACAAATAGAATATTTAACAATAAATCTAGCAGAAATTTATGAAGATATAATTATAGAATTTTTAATATCAAAAATGAAAGAAAATAATTATCGATTTTTCTTATTATGTCTTGCTCGTTGGAATGCAAATATTGATATGATTAAAAAAATTCATTTGATTATTAATCGTGAAAAATTACTCGATAATTATTCACTTGAACTTTTTAAAGATAATATCTATTTATGGTGTTGATAGGTTTTTTTTTTGTTTAATATTGCATATATATAGAAATTAATGAATTTACATAAAAATAAAATAAATAATGTATAAAACTCAGTTTTCTTTTTCAAGTAAAATATAAATCATCAATAATATGTTAAGAAATAGGAAAGCTTGATATAAAAATACGTAATCAATGTCAGAGGTATGGTTTTTAGCGCTCGTACTGAAATTATCAAAACAATAAAATTAAATTTGAGACATTGTTAAAAAAAAACTTGTTCGTAAAAAGGATTAAATATTTCTATAAGAAAAATACTTCTGTCTTTCAACTATATTGCAGAATGAAGTGCTGATTATCGTTGTCCGAAATCTTTCCTACAACTAATACTAACTGTAGCTTTGGACAGAAGACCGGTCTGATGCAGAATTCTTGCGCTGAATTGCTTGAGCTCTTCATAAACACTAACTAACAACAAGGACAGATGTATGTCGCAACGTAGAATGTATGCGATCAAACGGCTGATCCAAGACAAATAGCCGTTAGTGACTTATCCAGAATCATTCCATGACTGATATTATTGAGGTTTTCACACATTATTTTATGAATACGTGTTGAATTACGTAGCTACTCAGTTATGGCAACCTAATATTCTTATAGATAATAGAGTGTGATTATTAGTTTTTATCTTTTGTTTAGTTGTTATGTGTACATGAATTATTTCAAAAATCATAATGTTATTAATATATTCTATGAAGATGTCTCATTGTAAAAGAAAATTATTATTGAGAGATGCTATTATTTATATATAAGGTGAAAAAATTATAACAGACTATAGTTGTTTTTCGATGATAATTTATTGTCGAAGAAGCGATCTATCTTATTTATTTCTTGATTTTGAAACAGAAAATTTTTTCTATTTTTTTGTTTACCATGTTACTTTTCGTTCGTTGTTTCTCATTTTCATATTTCGTTTTTCTTAGGTTAACATGATTATTTTCATTCTAACCATTGATTTAACTCGCAAATAAGCTTATTGTACATATGCATTATATCTACAGCAGCTCTCAAACACTAATATCGATTCTTTTCCAATGTTATTACCTGAGCAGTTCACCCAATTTATGTTGATTACATGACGACTGCGACAAAGCAATACATCATTACCCATCATCCGTGAGATATTAAATATGAATTTTTATCAGCACAAAATTCAAAAACTGCACTGTTCAGAACATTCACAAACGTATTTTAGCAATTCTAACTCCGAGGAAAGATTTGGAATGTTCTAGAAGTCCAACGAGGTAAGTACTCAAAGTGATTAACCGCTTTCAAGCCCATACTTTGGGCACATAGAGGAGACCTCTAGAGTAAAATAACCCTACCAGAATTCGGGCCCATGGTCCTTATAAACTGAGATATTGAGTTTTCAGGTTCCAGCAGATAAGAAGGATTTTGATCGTCTATTGTGATTATCCTGAACACAAAAATGTACTGTTAACTAGAAATTCTATGATAAACTGGCTGCACCATCGGCAAATTACTATGAAATTTCCAGATTTTATCTCATTTCTAAAAGTCACAGAGTTTTTTTTTCTATTACATCGACCATCATCATAACCCATGTGTTGAAAGCTGAGGAAAAATCGCCGGTTTACCGCGGTTAACCAGTAACTTCTGACGGTAAGCCGAGGTATACCGCTGAATTTTTCTGGTAAATCGTGATTAATCGATACTACTGTGCTGTTAACCGGCACCATTTGATTCTTTGTTTCGTTCATATTGCAGTTAAATTTAACAGTTATTTTTCAATTAATCTAGTTTTTATTTCAACCCAAAATAAACATAGAAACCGGTGCAAAAAAAACCATACATAATAAAATAAACACAAAAAAAACTAATCTTAAAACATAAATATAAAAAAATTAATCTAAAAAAGAATAAATATTAAAAACTTCTGTATAAAAAAAATATTATGTCTCAACTGAACCTCTTTATCATTATATTGATTCTTTTCTCTAACAAGCAAGCAAACGAAATAAGTGATGCGATAGACACGCACATGTACATATACATGTTTTTTTCATTTTGCAGCCGTTCACTTTCTATAGTTCACGGAAAAGAATTACCAATGAACTGTAGTTGGTTGCTGAAATTTACAACGAACCGTAGTATCAATTAAAACCGGTGATTTTGACAATTACCGCGATTTACCCCTACAAACGACCTGATTTTTGTGATATGGGAGAGGCAATGGTTCTCGAATGAGGCAAGATTGTGTTTTTCGTCCATTTACTCCATCAAAATGTCTTCTGATCTCGGGCTATTGGTCTGGTCAATGAGAACCAAAGATATACTCCGCTGTCCAAGATTGTAAGAGACAAGAAATACCAGCTCAGACTACGTCATACATTCAACCACTTGACATCTATTTCAACAGAAAATGGAAGTTGTTCGCTCGGCGTATATTCAATCATATTCAACTTGACCATATCATCATTAACTTATTTGAACGAAACAATATAATACAGTTGAATTCTCTTATTCACAATCAGTTGTCCTCGCTTCAATTTGTATCCATGGTTCCCGTCTGGATACATCGATCAGAATCCAGGAGATTTTGAGTCTGTCAACGAATTTTGTTTCAATACTGATGTTGATGTTTACCAACAATCGAACTGTCGCTATTTAATGCAGTCATTGCTGCAAGCTACTCTGCTTTGAACATTTCTTTGAAATTTATTACTATAATTAGATGTCTGTTGTCTTTCAGTGTGGCGCTATGATTTTTTAAACGGTGATATCTATAAGACTTTATTTTATTCGGTATAGGATTTCCAAGAAAACGGCTGTGGCTTACAGAAATGAGATAAAATCTGGAAATTTCATATTAATTTGCTTATGACGCAGCAGCCAGTTTATTATAGAATTTCTCGTTAGCAGCACATTTTTGTTTTCAAGATAATCGTAATAGACAATAAAAACCCTTCTTATCTACTAGAAGCTGAAAATCCAATATCTCAGCTCATAAGAACCATGAACTCGAATCTTTTTAGGGTTATTCTAGTCTAGAGATTCCCTCTATGTGCCCAAAAGTGGTTAATCACTTTCGCTACTTGTCTCGTAAGTCTTGTCATTAATGTTGCTCATCGCCTTTTTCTTTTGCTAAGGAATTCGAGGAACGAAGTCTGATCAAGGAACTAGGGGTGTCAGCGTTCCCCGTTCCTCAGCATTCCGTTCCTAGGAACGGGAACGCTTGTCAAAATCGCATTTCTATGCTATATTTCAACATGGCGAGGTCTCTAGACATATTCACTTTTCTTTTTATGTTTGAGTGTTCAGCGTTCCCCGTTCCTAGGAACGGAATGCTGAGGAACGGGGCACGTTGACATCCCTAATTTTTATGAAATTGGCTTTCCTTCGGTGAATTAGTAAAATTTCTGTTAAAAGCGAAAGAAACGTATGTTGCGTTCCAGTTTCTAGGAACGGAACGCAAAGTTGACACCCCTACAAGGAACAAAAACCGCAACTTTAGTACTTCAACGTAGTGGAGTCGCACTTTTTTCCTTGAGTTTGACATCTGTTGTCTTCGGTTGCTATGGAAAGATATCCAATGATTGTTGACCTTTCTTTTCCCCCGCCCACTTACTAGGGACGAGAAGTCACAAAAACCTCGATTTAAACTTACACTCTCTATTTTCCTTCGAAAATAGATGTAAATTCTACAAAATATTATTTTTTTCAATAGCAGGTATTTATATTTTTTATTATTCTCTTGGTAAATTGGATAGATGATTTTTGATAATTTGAATAAATATTCTTCAAAATGATGAGCACATGATTGCGTAATGTCTGAGCGATTTTATGTAACAACTGTTCATTCATTTTCTTGATTTTTGTTTTTGAGTAAGTAAAATAAAATTTGAATTTATTGAAACATAAAACTTTGTAAAGAGAACTGAATAAATGCAATAACAAACAATTGGAGACAAAATGTACGTTGAAATATTGAATAAGAAAATATATGTGCAATATGACCTAGTTATTTTATGTTGTTTAGTTACATAAGAATTTATTTAGTATTTTTCTTTCTTATCAGCACAAAAAACACGTAAGCAGAAATGCTTCTTTATCTATTTCTCCTTTATTAACACTCATCATGACTTGATATTATTCTCTTTTCACACTATAACATTAAAAATATTGATATTTGTTGCATATTTTAGACATTGGTTACATGAGGTTTATTGAAAAAAAATAATAAATGGATGAATCAAGTTTAGGAGAAACATCAGTATTGATTATTGATCATGGTGTTCCTTTGCCTGTACGTGATAATCGACATGCCTATGAAAGACAGCTAGCAGTATATTTTATTCTTGCAAGCACTATTTTTGAACGTTTAGCATTTTATTCATTAGCAATTAATCTTGTTGTTACACTAAACTCAGCGGAACTAAATTGGGATTCTTCAACTAGTACAACTGCTTCATTTATTTTTTTTGGTAAGATTTAGTAAGCACATATGACAAAAAGATTTTTAAATAAATAAATCTCATTTATGTTGATAGGTACAAGTTATATTTCAACACTTATATTTGCTGCAATAAGTGATGCAAAATTAGGTAGATCGAAAACAATAATTATTGGTAAAATAATCGAAATTCTAAATAATAAAAAAACAAACAATGATTTTTTTTTTTCGTTATAGGTTTTGTTCTCTATTTACTTAGTTATATAATCATAATCTTAATTGCAAATACCAATACACATCAATCTATATGCAAAGGTACATCGGGTACACATACATCTGTATTTTCCGAACATTGTGGACCTCAAATTATTGGAACACTTATTTTCATGTGAGTCGATCTATCGATAAATTTGACTTTTCTTAATATTTTTGTTTTTTTGAAAATAGGGCTATTGGTGTTGGAGCTGTTCAAGCAAATATGGCTGTATTTGGAGCTGAACAAATTCATGAATCAAAAATTACATCACGATATTTTGATAAATATTATGTAGCAGTAAATATTGGTGCAATTATTGCAATATTATCCATTCCTATAATACAAACGGATTTAAATGATCAAACTCATTCTAATAATTATTTTTATGGATATTTAATTGCTATTTTCATGCTCTTTGCTGCTGCTCTATTATTTATTATTGGTCGTCAATATTATATTCATACACGTCCTCATGATACAATCGTTACGAAATGTATTCCAGTTATTATAAATGCATTTCAAACATGGCGTGAACATCATAAAAATAAATCAAAATTAGGTAGAAATCGTACAGATTCTATTTTAAGAAATTTATTCAGTAGACAAAATACGATTAGTCAAGAAGGAATAATACAAAATGATGAACGATCACTTTCATTTCTTGATTATGCAAAAGCAACTAATAATGGAAAATGTCTTGATCGACATGTTAATGATGTTAAATCTCTTCAAAGATCTATAATTGTATTTCTGCTTCTAATTCCATATTGGATTATTTATTATCAAGTATAATGAAATTATTTGAAAAAAATATTTTCTATTAACATAATTTTTAGGTTCAAATAACTTTTCCTTTACAAGGTCAACAAATGAATATACCATTCTTATCTAAGGATAAAAAAATGCCTATTAGTTGGATGTCACTTGGTGATTCAGTAACAATTATTAGTAAGTTTGTTTTGTGGAAGAAAAAAAAAAGAAATCATAAATTTCTTATTTAAAATAATATAAATATAAGTTAGTGTTATGATTTTAATAAAATTTGTCTACAAATATATGGATATTCAAAATCGAACAATGATAATCAAGATTAAACTTATCATTGGTATGATTTTAGCATCATTAACGATGTGTATTGCTGGTATAATTGAAATATTTCGACAAAAGCATTGTACAAAAGGTAGATAATTATATATGTGTATTAATTTTTTGGTTTTTCTTAAATGATTTAAATTTTTCAGAAAAAGACGATTCAGATTTGAGTATCTTTTTTCAATTACCACAAAATATATGTATGGGTCTTTCGGAAGTATTTGCTACTGTGGCCAGTCTTGAATTTGCTTATTTAGCTGCTCCACAATCAGCTCAATCATTATTAATGAGTCTACAATTTTGTTCATTAGGATTATCATCATTTATTGGTAAAGCATATCTTTCTATGTATTCAACTACTTCAAATGGTTTAGATTTTAGTGTAAGTATGAATCAAAAAGAAAAATATTACATGAACATTTATATTATGTTCTATTGAATATTTAGTGTCTATCTCTCAATCAATGGACTTTTACGACTTATTTTTTCATTCTTGCTGGTCTTCAAGTAGCTTTTATAATTGTTTTTGTTTTATGTGAAAAAAATTTTCAAATACTTAAATTAAATCCACAACAAAGATAAACAAATATTTGTTTATTGAATCTGATTTTTCTTTTTAAACATTGAGAATTTAATAAACTGTCATCATACATATATAAACAAGCACTAGAAAATTAAATCTTCTAGATAATTACTGAATATTAATCACGAATAACAAACGAATATCTGATCAACAGCTAACCAGATAAATTTGCGAACGATCATGTGTTATTCCTCTATAATCTATGCAGATCTCAGTCAGTGAAATATGTATAATACAAGAAGTTTTTCCTAGGTCATCATTGACAAATGATAGCTCAAAAGGAGGTTTGACTACAAGAAGAACAAAACAAAAAGGCCGGAAACTTGAAACATATTTATCTCGTCTTCATTCGTCACCTAATCATTGTTTATTTTAAAGGTGTTTGAATTCGTTGTATGACTACTATGTATTTGCGCGAACGTTGAGTTGTTACAATTGCGCATAATTGAGTAATGTTATCAGCGTACTGTAAAATGAGTGTTTCACGTGCATCCATAAAAGATATGACGAGGATAAATGTTATAAATGCATAACATTCGAATGAATCTCGTTGAGGAATCCAGGTGAACCCCGATAGTCAACAAGTTTTCATATGTCTATACACATTAATACAATTGGACTTAGTTGGCTCATCTTATCACCATACTCTATTAGTTTTCACTAGAGCAAATATAAAAGATAAGCAACCTAATATTGTATAGTTGTAAGAATATGATGGAGCTGATTGGAGTCCTCCCGGACCCCAGATGGTCGTGTGAAGGTTAAAATTGATCAAACATTTATATTTGTTCAAAATGATTTTAAGTTATTATCATATTTGTTGATCGATTGATAGCACAACATCGCAATTCCATGAAAATAAATAGATTATTTAAAAATCATCGATATGAATCGTTCGTAATTGCATTCAATGTCAACAAAAAAAAAAAAGAAATGTCAATATCAAACGAAGTCTTTTTGTCAGATGATATGCGCCATTGTAATGATGAAGAAAGAAAAACAAAACGTCATAGATATTTTTTTTTCTTTATATCGAACAACAACAAGTTGATGAAGTTTACATGGCTTGCTCATGAGTTGTTATTTGATTTGTCTGAATATTTTTTTGAACTGTTCATTTATTTTATGTTTTCTATACTCTGAATATTCGCCTTTATCACCATTGTTATGCGTATAATATTGATGTTCGATCAGTATCTAAATAGAATTTCAATATTATCTGTCGATACCATCTTCCAATGATTGTTGTTGACTTACCTATGGTTTCAACATCGATCGATTTAAGTTACTTCATTGTGCTTGCCAAATAATGACGAGACACTGAAGTCCGTCGAACTTTTTTCAAACATATACAATTATATTCAGTGTATGGTATGCAATCATTTAATTGATTACAATAAACTATATTATGATAATGTTCTTTATGATATCTCCATTAGTAAAACACACATTCTCTTTGATTATTCTTCTTTTTAATAGATTATATAGTCAAACGATCTTCATGATCAACAAAATCAAGCCAAAGTTGTCGTTTCATATTACTGAACGATATTCTCTTATCGAGAATGGCTTAATTATTTAACTTAAAATATAAATACAACCTTCGCTGAAGAGGATGTAGGTGTAATTACAAAATTGTGATGCTAATTTCTGTTTAGAAATATATTCTCTTTTATCATTCTAACAGATAATCAGAGATAAACACTGGTTAGAACATGATATGACACAAAATACTTTTTTTAACTTTTGATGAAGCGAAAAACATATTAATTTGTCCATCATCTCATAGTCAATTTATTCAATAGTATTTCCAAGTAATAAAACTACAAGTAACGCTCGTCACTAAGACTCGCTTTACCCTCGACTGAATTCATTCTATCCACTTTGACAAATATTATCAGATAAATCGTCAGTTTGTGTGATGCTATAGCCAACACCATACGAGCAAGTCTTTCAACTTTTGTAATTTGGAAAAAGTAACATTGGTAATGTCGAGTTCGGAATATGTAATATGCGCGCGATATTCTCATCATAGATTACATTTCTTTGGCTTTTATGAGAAATTGGTACGATTTTGAAATAGTCGTCTTCACCACAACAATTGCCTGAGCTGTTTCGAAAAATACTCGATATTTCATTTAAAGCTTTAGCAAGAAAAGATGTGTCTACCTCGTAAATGAATGGTGAGTCGCTCATCAGCGTCTCTCGAGGGCGCCAGTTATGACTCACCGATCTCAGATTCTATCTACTTGATCGACCTCTTCGGAAAACTATTGTCCAATCTCTAGAAAGCAATGCGAAAGAAAGGCTCATATCAATCTTAGAACCAAACGGCGAGTCATTCGTCGGCGCCATTGGTGACTTGTTACCTTTTTTAGCAGTCCTTTGTTTACATATTCTACTTTCAAATTTTTACTCACTATACAGACACGAATGAAAGAAGAAAAAAACATCGATGGCAACAATAATAAAACTGCATTAATGTATGTTTCTGTTTCGTTGGCGCTTTCATTGTTAATGTACTTTTTTGTTGTTGATCTTTCTTGTTTGTCATAGTTACATTTTTAGAAGAAATCCAACAGAATCATGTGATCAACGTTACGGCCAATTTTGTTTTCATTCGCGGAACAAACTTCTTTGTTTGTGCAATGACATACCGCATGCGCTACAATGACGGTGTTTTTTTAGTTATGTCTTCAATATTACTGTCGATTTTAGTTAAAGAAAATACCTACGATACTTTTCATTATTTGTTAGCTGTATGCAAACATAGATGACTCTCCTTCGCATGTATACAAAACAGATGCTTCCTAATAGATATTTTCTCGTTATCATTATGATGCATGCTAAAATTGTGTGAATCTCAATTGTAAACAAACACAACTTGAATATTATTTCTTTATGAATCGTATAGAGATTAATGAAAGATCAGCAGTTAGAATATCAAAAGAAAGCAAAGTTTCTTTTTATTTTACATATATTTCAAATGAATATAAGATACATCAAAAATCATTTTAGCAAGCGTGTGAATAATGATACATTCATTCTTCTAGTCTCACTTGCACACTCTCAGAATGTCATTTACCTTATTGAAGAATGTGTCCAGATGTGTCCAGAATTCAATAACCTGTTGGAATTTAGGTAACAGATCAATCATAACGTTTCAAACAAAATTGACAACATCATAGTTTGTTTACCCACAAATTGTAGACAATTACAATGCTGTCTCGAATATGAGTGTGGCTGTGGATGTCGAAAGAACCAAAACCAACACCTACATCTTTCTGAAAATTTCTTGAGTTTCGTGAATTGCGAGAGTTTCATAAGCGGAACTGCACTTTTGAGTGTTCCAGGAGTTTAGAACTCATGGAATCCGACTAATGCTGCTAAACAATGACTAATTTTATTCGGAATATTGATTCGAATTTGAATTAGGACTGTTTAGGACAGGATATGACTAAATTTATTGTATGTGACAAGGATAAAAATGGTTGTTTAATTATTGCTCCAATCAATATTGAATTTACTTTTCTTGTTATTTTTTTCACATTATCAGCGTGTCAATCATATGCATTATGAAAAAAATAAAACAGATGATGTCGTTTTAGTTTTTTTTCGTTCTTGACAGAATGAGAAAAGTCTTTTTCCTTTAAAAAGAATCGGTGAAAAAGTAAACAATCAATGCGACATAGTATCCAACACATTGGTTTTCAAGTAATTCTTATGTAGACGAAAAACAAACGAAAGTTAGAAAGAATAACAATGGAACAAATGACGTTGTAAAATTGTTTCTCTTTCATTTGTTGTTGACAACCATATTTTCAATTGCAACTGGATGGAATTTGTCCTTGGCTGTCAACGAAAAAAATAACACATCTACATTTGACATCGTGGAAAAATCTAGAAAAAGAACAGACGACATCGAATATATAAATAGAAAAGGTAGTCTCTGTCCAAACAACAATCTATCATTGAAAATACTCAATTGTCAATCAAACGCCAAAAAAATGGCATCAAAAATGAGTGAACGCCGAAGACAACGAATGGCTGAAAATTATTTGGTTATCTGGGTCGATGAACATATCGATATGGCAAATGAAGATTGCCAAAATACACTCGCGCAATTGCGCGGTGTTGTTAATGAAGTGAACCCATGCACCACTGCCGAACAATGTATTGAAAAACTCCAGGAAAACAATGAGGAGACATCATTCGTGATCTCCTCTGGTACGCTGGGACAACACTTGGTACCAGATATTCATGACATGGCAAAATTAAATGCCATATACATTTTTTGTGACAATGAACAACGCCACGAAGTATGGGCCAAAAATTGGTCAAAAATTCAAGGTGTCTATACTTCAATCAAACATATATGTGAAAAACTGACCGTTGCTGTCAAACAATGTAATCAAGATCAAGTAACGGTCAGTATTATTAGTGTTAATGAAGGAGGTTCTAGTGAAAATCTCAATCAGCTAGAGCCTTCCTTCATGTATACACAAATATTCAAGGAAATACTCCTTGATATGGAACATGGTCAAGAAGCCATAAAAGATTTGGTCATCTTCTGTCAAGAACAATACAAAGACAATACCAAGGAACTCAAATTGATCAATGAATTTCAACGTAATTATCATCCAACATTGGCGTTATGGTGGTATACACGCCAATGCTTCACATACAAAATGCTCAATCGGGCATTACGAACACTCGACGGTGATATTATCATCCGAATGGGATTTTATCTATGTGATGTTCATCGACAAATTGAAAATTTACACAGAGAACAGATCAGCCAGTATCATGGGGAGTCCTTTTCAGTTTATAGGGGCCAAGGCTTATTGCCACACGATTTCGAGAAACTCGCAAAAAACAAAGGTGGTCTCATATCTTTCAATAATTTTTTATCCACCAGTACAGATCGTGATGTCTCCTTCGCTTTTGCCGAAAGCACCTTAGGAGCAGCCAATATGGTTGGTATCCTCTTTCAAATGACCATCGATCCCACGGTGTCATCAACTCCCTTTGCCTCCATCAAGGAGGTTAGTGATTTCGCACAAGAAGAGGAAATTCTCTTCTCGATGCACACCGTCTTTCGAATTGGTGAAGTTCGAAAAATTGATAAGAAAAGTCCACTTTACGAAGTGGATCTTAAACTTACGTCGGATGATGACCAACAGCTTCGTCAATTAACCGACCGTATGCGAAAAGAATCTTCGGGTAGCACTGGATGGTATCGAGTGGGTAAATTGCTGCTCAAAATTGGTCAATTCAACAAAGCCGAAGAATTGTATATGGCACTACTAGAACAGGCTTCTAACGACAGCGATAAAGCACATATCTATTACCAGCTTGGATGGGTGAAACAAGATCAAGGACAATACAAAGAAGCAGCTTCATTTTATGAAATGTCTCTCAAAATTAAACGAAAAACTCTACCAGAAGATCATCCTTCATTAGCCAATATCTACAACAATATTGGTCTCGCATATAACTACATGGGTGACTACTCTAAAGCAGTGGAATTCTACAAAAAAACAATTAAAATAAAAGAAAAAGCTTTGTCTCCCGATGACCCGGATTTGGCTCTGTCCTACAACAACATCGGTCAAGTGTACAACAACATGGGTGACTATTTGAAAGCGCTTGAATTTTACAAAAAATCACATAAAATAAAAGAAAAAGCTCTGCCTCCGAATCATCCCTCATTGGCTATTTCCTACAGCAACATCGGTGAAGTGTATTTCGACATGGGTGACTACTCGAAAGCACTTGAATTTTACGAAAAAGCACATCAAATAAAAGAAAAAGCTCTGCCTCCGAATCATCCCGATTTGGCTATTTCCTACAACAGCATCGGTCAAGTGTATAACAACATGGGTGACTACTCGAAAGCACTTGAATTTTACGAAAAAGCACATAAAATAAGAGAAAAAGCTCTGCCTCCGAATCATCCTCATTTGGCTACTTCCTATACTTGCATCGGTCACGTGTATAACGCCATGGGTGACTACTCGAAAGCACTTGAATTTTACCAAAAATCACATAAAATCTACGAAATAGCTCTGCTCCCGAATCATCCCAATTTGGCTAGTTCCTACAACAACATTGGTGGAGTGTATAACGGCATGGGTGACTACTCGAAAGCACTTGAATTTTACGAAAAAGCACATAAAATCCTCGAAAAAGCTCTGCCTCCGAATCATCCTCATTTGGCTGGTAGTCACTTGAATTTTGCAGTATGTTACGAAAGAATGGATGATTACGCAGCAGCTCTTAAGGCTCTTCAAAGTGCTTTTCAAATTCAACAACAAGCATTTCAAGAAGGTAATCCAGCTTTTGCTTCAACGTATAGTTGGCTCGGAAGAGTTTATCGCAGTTTGAAAGGTTATTCAAAAGCACTTGATAATTTTGAAAAGTGTCTTGCAATAGCTCAAAAAACGCTACCTGAAAGACATCCCAATCGAGCTATTACATATAGTAATATTGGTGATGTTCATCGATTAATGGGTAATTATGAAAAGGCACTTGCATTTCATCAAAAAGCATTAAATATTCAAGAAAATGTTCAATGTAATCCTCTGGAATGTGCAACGACATATATAAATTTAGGTGAAACTTATCGTGAAATGAAAGATTATTCAACAGCATTGACATATTTCGAAAAAGGATTAGAAATACGTGAGAAGAAATTATCAAAAAATCATCCTGATTTAGTTGTTGTATATCATAATATGGCAAAATTATATTTGGCTACACGAAAATATAGTATGGCAATGAAAAATATTCAACAAGCAGTTGAAATAGCTCAAGAAAAATTACCTTCAACTCATCCTCATCTTTTGGAATATAAAGAAACATTTGAAAAAATTCGAAAGAAAATGTAATTTTTTTTTTCGTTTACTTGCTCAATAAATTGGTTTTGATTCCTTTTCACTTCTCGACTTTTCTAGGCTCATTTTCACGCGTACGCGCGCGCGCACGACCAAGGAGAGGCCCTATGCGTATGAAACGGGTACACACAGAGCGGACCACGACGGACTGGTAGGGCAATGTACATAGGTGTACCGTACATAATGACGCCAGGGCCTACGTACATTAAAGGCCTTCCCGAGCACTACACTGCTTTCGCCATTCCATGACGAACAGAATCTCTCTCTGGATCAGGTACGAAGCCACCTGATAAGGCTGTGATATAAATTGGTATCTATCTTCTAACATAAATAACATAGACTTAACATAATAATAATAATGACATACACTAAATGTGTACAACAACAAAGAAAAAAATTATTTCATCCGAAATAAATCATCTATATCGCATTCTAACATTATCTCAATGTAAGTATTGTTATAAAAATTTAATTTAGAATTGTTCTTCCAAGAAAATAGAAAAGAAATTCTTTTTTAATCTTTCAACTGTTTATTTATTTGTTCAAGTCTTTCTCAAAATAAATAAGATAATTTTTGAAGCAATATACCCATTCTTGTTATTGGTATAAATCAATAATAAATCATGTTCTTTTTTAACATTCTCATGTTTTTTATAATTTCATATAATTCAAACAACAAACAGATGAATTTTAAAAACATCATAGAATAAATTTCTATCATAAATCAATATATCCTAACATGTATTATCATTGAAATCAAAAACATTGCATAAAAAAATGAATCATAATATAACATCATTGAATGAATGAATTTCATTATAAATTGCTGCATCGTAAAGCAATGAAGTTAAATAACATCATTCAATAAATTTCATTCTAAAATAATACATTTTAATATAATATGATTCAATGAATATCATTGTGAATTAATGAATTTTAACATAATATCATACAATAAGTTTCATTGTGAATCAAAACATTTTAATACATCATAAAATTGATAAATTTCATTATAATATAATGCATTTATTGAATTGTACAGAAATGAATTTTAATAACACCTACCCCTAGATTTCGTTCTAAAAGAAATGCATCATTATATAATATCGATCAATAAATATCATCGGAAATTAATGTATTTCAATTCTTTGCGTCCCAAATTATTTCTGCTGAACACTGACACGTCCAGATAAAAACCAACATACTCGCATACGGATTCACGTGCGCACACCTATACACCCATATCTACAAACTCGACACCCACCACATCCACATCGTTGAACATTCTTTATTGCTACATTTCAGTAAATTACATAATAATTATTAAACATGTATAGATTTCTTTTTCCTACTATAGAATTCAAAGGTTTAACATAACATTATGTAACAAATTTCATTATAAATGTATACATTTCCATACATTATAAACTCATACGTAGCATTGTAAATAATTATAAATTGATAACTGTATGTCATTCATGAAAAATCATAATGTAAAATAATACTAATTATTGTAAGTAATATAAAAAATTGTAATCCGTGAAAAATAAATCATGTGAGTGTCATGTTTTATCTTTATTGAGCATGCTCATGATTTGTTCGATCGAATTGTATGAGAATACTGGTGAAAATGTGTTTTATATATATATATGTTTTTAAACATACATTGCCAATCAAAGACATTCTAATGATGTTGATATCAATTTGACGAACGATAATTGACGATGATGTGTACATTCGAATATAATTGATTTGATTAATCATCACATGATTAATTGAAATGATGAGACACGAATTAATTTCGTTGTTTTTCATGTGCATGGATGTGAATACTTGACCTTTGTTCATATACAGTCCTTCATGGACAATACATATTCTTTTCTTTCTTGTTTTTTGGATCAGAAGAAATTTCTATTCATCATCGTCATCATCGTCATCGAAAAAACAAAAGCAATTAATTTGAATCATAAATCATAGAATTATTTTTTCGTACGACTTTTGAAATTGATTAGAGTGCATTATTCAAATGAACATATTCATTTTCTTGAAAACACAAGATCAACAAGTCTGTTGAATGCGGCTGTACTGTCATTATATGAAAATTCGTTAAGACAAAGTCAAATAACTATACAGAAAATTAAAAAGTTTTCATAAAATTTGATTTCTATCCCATCGAATGAATATTTCTGTTGAAATCAAATCACTAATAACGAATTGAAACTTTTAAACGAGTATTATTATCAATTGAAACAAAATCCTTTATCAAGAAAAAAAAATTGAAAATAAAAATCACTTCAATACGTTTACTTGAAGATAAATTTCGATTTTACATGATTGATTTGCTGATATATAGTCAATTTTTCAGTTGAATATTGATAGTAGTAAATAAAATATACATATTTGATTCAATCTGAACAAACACTGGGGTGTGGGGTGTGGGTGTGGGTGTGGGGTGGGTGGGTGTGGGTGTGGATGTGGGTGTGGATGTGGGTGTGAGTGTGGGTGTGAGTGTATATCTCCATCGATACCCACACCCACACATCCATACCCACACACCCACACCCACACCGACACATCCACACCCACACCCACATACCCACACCCACACATCCACACCCACACCGACACACCCACACCGACACACCCACATACCCACACCCACACATCCACACCCACACAGCCACACCCACACCGACACATCCACACCCACACACCCACACCCACACCCACATCCACACCCACATCCACACCCATCCCCGCACCCACATCCATTTGCCTGGAAGAAACGCGTCATGGTAGCTGATCTCATCCTCACCATTTTTAAAAAGTATGTCGTTCGCTTTCGTCATTGAAAAAGTGCAAATCTGATGTCTAGATGTGAAATTTGTGTCATTCGAACGATCAAACAAAAAGTGAGTTAAAAAGGAAGTGAATAATTTCTACCCGGCAAACAAGGAACGAAAGAATCGACGTTTTTACACATAAAAGCCGCACATTTTAACGCGTTAAAAAGATTTCTTTTGAATAAAAACAAGTTGGAAAGCATTAACTTTTACCAACTCGCTTTTTCTTCACAAAAACATTTTTTAACGCATTAAAATGTGTGCGCTTTCTACGCTTAAAAACTTCGATTTTTTCGTTACTTGTCTGACCGGGTATTTTTCTATTGAGGATCACATACTTGTCTTACATCAACAATCATGACATTCTTATTAAAAAAAAATCTTCAAAACACTTTTCTACGTACAAACAGACGAAGGAAAAAAAATAAGCTAACAGATATTTACTGTTAAAACAAAAAGGAAGAAAAGAACGACAAATTTTCATCAGATATTTAAATATCTGAAATGCTGCATTGTCTAACAGAAACATCAATTTAACATTCAACATAGAAATTTCTCAATTTTGCATCTAGATCAACAACTATCAGTCTACTTATATTGAAATAGTATCATGGGACCGTGCTGCAGTACATTGAGCAACCAGGATGTTATTCCGAAAACACCTAATGTAGTTGTTGGTACACCGGTGGTCGAGGAACATATTCTGAAAGAAATTAATGAAGCTGTCACCAAATCGGTCGCCAAAATTACTGCAGCCTACAAAGTGAGTTAGATAACTTCATTTTTCAATGTAATCTTAGAGGATCATCACTGATTTCTACCTAGAAACAGTTATTTTCATTGAAGAGTTTTTTTTTCCTAAAATGACAGTTTCTCTTCTTTCACTAAATCAAATCTCTCTATATTGTTTAGGGTGAACGGATACGTATTGTGGAAAAGATGCGAAAGGCAGCACCTGAGCGACATGAAAATCTCCTGTATTACGATTATCCAGATAAGAATGGATCAAAAGTTAATGAATTGGCTCTTCAAAATGTTACATCGGAAGTTGCGAAGAAAAAAATTTCCCAAGGGATATATGAACAAATTAAACCCAAACTCGATGAGAAAACAAGCGGGGATCCTTTGGGACGTGAAGCTTTACACAAAGTAGTAGAAAAAACCATCGAAGTGTCAGTCAGTAAAGCCGTCGATGCCACCATGAAAACCATCAACACCAATGATACGGAACCAGTATTAGAAAATCAGTAGAACATCATCATTTCTTTTTATTGTATTAATCTTAAACAAATAAATTTCATATCCAAGAATACCTCTGAAGAGAATGTCTAAATCGTTATTCTACTACTATATACAGGAATCAAGTGATCTTTTCTGTGCAGAGAGAATTCAAATTACGATAGAGAAAACTAAATTATAGATGATCTAGAAAAACGATAGACTTTTTTTGTAGATATATAACGAACAAATAAGGTCTTTATAATGAATCTTAATGACTGATATTTTGTCCTATCACATGAGAAACCGATACGAGTTTTCTTAGATTGTTTCAAGATGAAAGCAGATATTGTTTTGAAAATGAGATACGAGATTTTTCGATTCGATGAGATGGTATTCGAGAATCTTCTCTAAAATTTCTCTTATCATCGGACCAAACCGATCGTTATTGAATAGAATTTTTATTTATGCATCGTCTTTCAATAAAATAAGTTTTATTATCTGAAGATCATCGAAATGTTAATATTTTGCGGATGAGGGTGAGTCAAGCAAACCACGCTCCAGATTTCGACCTTCCTTAAGGATCTCGTTAGGTGGTTTAACTCTATTGTATTTGTCCAATGATCCGAAGATCACAAACAAAATACAATAATCTATTCTTATTAACAGTGATTTATATACTGCAATAGATAGATACCATTTTAACAGTGGTGAGTCAAGCAAACCACGATCCAGATTTCGATCTTGTTTAAAGGTCTCGTTAGGTGGTTTAACGCTATTGTATTTTATTTCTGATCTTCGGATCATTGAACAAATACAATAGCGTTAAACTACCTGAGGAGACTCTTAAGCGAGGTTGAAATCTGGATCGTGGTTTGCTTGACTCATCTCTTCCTCACTTCCTCACCGTCACACTCTGACATGACCTTGTTCGCAGCATCAAAAATTAGTCGCATAGAATTTTGTCCATTTTGAAAACAAAAGGTGTGACTTAAAAATAAGCTGTCTTTTGTAAATTATAGAGCTTTTTACACTGCATCTTGTGCTGTTTTTTTTTAATACAACGTATTAAATGATTGAAAATTGAAATGCGAAAAGCGCCCATTTAATCTGCTCCACTCGTTATGGAGTGTCGAACAACGCTTCTATTCTTCCAACAAAAACACGCTTTTTTTAGATCAAAAGGTAAGCGAGAAAGAAAAATATTTGGTTATTATTCTTTCTGAGAGCAGTTGCTTGAATACACTTCCTTTTTTCGTTGTGCTTGAAAACATCATTGTTTGGTATAAAAATAAGGGCACAAAGTAACAACGGATTGTAGTTGGATAAGGATGGGCAACGGTTGCTGTACTGGAAAAATTTCTCTTAAATGCTTTGATCCTCGACCACGAGAAATCACAGAACTCTATATAGCATGTGAAGCAGGCAACGTCGACCAAGTAAGAAAAATCCTCTCATCAACACCGTTCTACCTCGTCAATTGTCTCGAATCGAACGGTAGCACGGCCCTGCATGTAGCGTCCTCGCGTGGTCACACAGATGTTGTACGCATCCTTGTACAAGAATATGGGGTTATCTGTCATCGAAAAAACATCGATGGTTTGACAGCTTATCAGGTGGCGGCAGATGATGAAATCCGACAAATTTTCCATCGTCCGCTAAACAATAATCGATTTTGTACCACGGTTGAAAGCATGGTACAAAATACCTTCGCAATGGTCTTTCCTGCGTCAAAGCGATCTCGTCCATCTTGGATTATTAGTACGGCCGGCAGCTACAATATCGAACAATTGGAAGAACGCAGGAGAAGAGACGAAATCATTCATAATCATCCTGGGCTTGATCTAGCTATACAGTTACACAGGGGTTTCCCCGACCTGTTTCCAACGACACAACGAGCAAAAGCATTGCAGTTGCTTGTCAATGCTTTTGTTCCACCTTCTAACAACAACAACAAATATAATCAGGCATGCCAATGCGTGGATGAATACAAAAAAACGAAAAAAGTCGAACCACTTCTCCGTCTCTACACCTTGGATACACCATTCTATTCAAAGGCAGGTGCTCCCAAATTGTGCCACGTATTACTGGAACCATTAAAGCACAATCTAAATGCACTTGCTAACCGTCATTTTCAAGGCACTTCATATCGTGGTCTGTCAATGACGAAGGAAGAGTTAGAAGACTATGAATGGGCACTGCGGCTAGCAGAAGAAGAAGGAGAAAGTGTCATCAGCCTGGCAAGTTTTGCTTCAACCTCATGTGACAAGCAAGTTGCTGGACTTTTTGCCGATGGTCCGACAATTGAAGGCAAAATTTGGGTACTGATGACTTTTCTCTTTCCGCAACCATGCAATAGAGCCATCGCACTCTATAAAGTTTCAGAATCATCACCTTGTATCTCGAAATTTGAAGAAGAGCAAGAAGTACTACTTCTTCCGGGAAGTATGTTCCATGTCACAAAAATTGATAGAACGACCGATGCTCCTTTAACGCATATTCATCTTACAAATGTTGCACCCAAAATTCACTTTTCAGCAGAAGCAATCCATATGGTCAAGAAACAGGCTGTCAGGAGGATCTCCTCGAGCTTACTTGGATAATTCTAGTATACGATTTTGTTTTAGTTGGCAATTCATAGTTTGTTTCGATGTTTGCATTTTGTGAAAAAATAAACAAGAGTGTTGTTTTTCCCCATTTCTCTGTGATGTCTTTCAAGTACATGATTATAGAAAGAAGAGCACACGAAGAATCAGGTAGACACGAAAGATTGCGTGACGGCAAATGTCAAGTATACGTTTCGGGTATTAATCTGTTCGGGTGAGTCAAGCACATCAAGACCAGTTTCGTCCTTGCTTAAAGAACTCATCAGCTGACTTTGTATGAGATGAATGATTCAAAGTGGAATCAAATCAATAGTATACAAGATTTTTACACTATTACTTACTGTGCAAAAACACAAATAAGTAGTGGTAAAAGATCTTGAGAGTGTGGGTGTGTGGGGTGTGGGTGTGGGTATGTGGATGTGGGTGTCGAGTGTAGGCGTGGGTGTCGGGTGTCGGGTGTAGGTGGGTGTGGATGGGTGTAAATACGTAGGAACACACTCATACCACATCCACAAAACACACAAAAAAATCTAGAAGTATATATCTTTTCATGTATTATCAATGTCTCAATAAGAAAAACAATTATGAAACTATATTGAATCACAATTGACGTCGAACTTTCAATGACTGTCTTCATTTTGACGTCAACTCAATGATAAAGACATAAAGGCTAAAAGTGCAGGGGAAGAAGAAAGGAAAACCATTTCTTAATTAGGAATATAGTAAGGGTGTGGGTGCGGGTGTAAATGTGAATTTGGTTGATAGAGCAATAACCACACTCACACCCACACCCAAATTACCGAGTCGATTGAGGCAAGCTATAGATTAAGATGGAGAGCAAGTAAATAGTCATTAATGTAGCTTTTCTTCTTCTGTTGAAAGAACTTGAATATATGAAACGTGTATAGCTACTAGTATTCAAATTAGAAATGGTTATATGAATCAATTTTGATGTTAGTTCAGTTGAAGTAAAAATGAAAAACAGAGATTTCAATTTGTTCAACAAGATTAAACATAAAAAAATGAAAAAAAATCTAAGTCAACTTTTGGAAAAGAAAATGCAAAACAAAAAAGGAATTGCTTTATTACTTGATGGAATAAATTTACTTTTTTGGTGAGTAATCTGATTATAATAAGAGATGAACAAAATAAAAGAGAAAAAAAAACCAAATAAGCAAACAACAACAATCAAACAATATGTTTGAGTTCAATGAGATTCTATCAGAATGGTCTAAAGGTGGGTGTGGGTGTGACTGTGGCTGTAGGTGTAAGTATTTGAGGCCTCCCTGAAAGTGACGCTCACACCCACATCTACCCTAGGGAATGCCAGATGTGAAATCCAACTTCAGATTCAAAATCCTGGTCATCGATAACCTTTAGTAAAGTTCCATAAAAATGTACAAAAATCTTAACATAAAAAAGCTCAATTCTGATTGATCGGCTTTCCAGCCAATGGGAAGGTCGGATATAAAATCCGGATTTCCCGACCTCAATTACCTTTACTAGAACCTTAGAAGCTACACCAAAATAAACTTCATCTCTGATGTTTTTTTGATCTTTGATCTTTGACCCTGTCTACAAACAAACAGACAAACGCATTTTAGTTTTTTTCGTATGACCCTCCCTTCAGTCGAGGGAATATTTTTGAATAATGATTGAGTTGATAAACATTAGAAGAAATAGATATATAACAGGCTGGTCATATGCTGTATAATAAGTTTTAACGGGGAAAGCGGCAGCATGATCTTATCTTTAATTAGTTTAAGGTCACCCTCTTCAAAGATGGACCTCAGACCAGAAACGTCTCATTTCGTCTCCAGAAATTCTCTGTGATCTTCAGTCTATACATTTAATTTTTTTTTGTTTGAAGGAGCATGTCAGAATACGTGCCTACGAGAGCTCTTTTTTTATCGAAATTATCAATTAAAATTTCCATTTGATAAGTAATTAGATGGCATTCGAATTTCATTCGAATGTCGATTGATGAATAAATTTATATATCAAAGAAGCAAATAATCATATTTATGGGTAATTATGAAACGCTGTTTTCTAAAAGATATTTACGTTTTATTGGAATTACCTTTTGTTCCATTGCTTTAAATCGAAAAATTTGTATTTTTGGATAGTGAAGTCAAAATAAAAGTGCAAAATAGTCATGATGAAATTCATTACTAAACGAATTCTATTAACAAACATCATCTTATATTTAATGAATACTATTGATTGATCGCATGATTCTTGCTCTTATTTATTATCGATCATCAACTATATATTCACAGTTGTCTTGAATATAAGTAAAGAGAGTGGTTATACTAACTTTTGTGTGCTGTCATCGTTTTAATTATCTTGAAGTCAACAAAAATTTACATTTTTTGAATGGCTTACTGTAAGAAAATAGAACATGTAATTGAAGATCAAAAAGTGAAT